TTTCTACATTTTATATCTATTTCAGTAATAACACAATATTGGCTTGAATACGATATATCAGTTATTGATTCCGTATGACATATATACTTCTGAATATGGCGTTGAAACGTTCGTGTTTCCTTGTGAATTGTATTTCTTTTAATTGATTGTAAAAACATTGACATAGACTGTTATGAGTTTATTTGCTTTGCAATAGAACTTGATGATATATCAATTTTATTTCTCAAGTCACAATATGTATTTACCATTGTCTATTGAAAGCTGAAGATTTCAGAGTTTTGTGTCCTGAATTTGTTAGACTGAATTTGATAGAAATCTGAACATCTATCAGATTTCCTATACTACCACTAACGTCTAGAGTAATATTAAATTGTGATTACCATTTTTTATTTCATCTCCGGCTTGTTATGATTGGATCGGAAAACAGTTGGTAAGTAGTCAATTTTTAGCACGACAAATAATGAACAGAATGTCTTAATTCATTTGTTTCATTTCTACATTTTATATCTATTTCAGTAATAACACAATATTGGCTTGAATACGATATATCAGTTATTGATTCCGTATGACATATATACTTCTGAATATGGCGTTGAAACGTTCGTGTTTCCTTGTGAATTGTATTTCTTTTAATTGATTGTAAAAACATTGACATAGACTGTTATGAGTTTATTTGCTTTGCAATAGAACTTGATGATATATCAATTTTATTTCTCAAGTCACAATATGTATTTACCATTGTCTATTGAAAGCTGAAGATTTCAGAGTTTTGTGTCCTGAATTTGTTAGACTGAATTTGATAGAAATCTGAACATCTATCAGATTTCCTATACTACCACTTACGTCTAGAGTGATATTAAATTGTGATTACCATTTCTTATTTCATCTCCGGCTTGTTATGATTGGATCGGAAAACAGATCGTGAGTAGTCAATTTTTAGCACGACAAATAATGAACAGAATGTCTTAATTCATTTGTTTCATTTCTACATTTTATATCTATTTCAGTAATAACACAATATTGGCTTGAATACGATATATCAGTTATTGATTCCGTATGACATATATACTTCTGAATATGGCGTTGAAACGTTCGTGTTTCCTTGTGAATTGTATTTCTTTTAATTGATTGTAAAAACATTGACATAGACTGTTATGAGTTTATTTGCTTTGCAATAGAACTTGATGATATATCAATTTTATTTCTCAAGTCACAATATGTATTTACCATTGTCTATTGAAAGCTGAAGATTTCAGAGTTTTGTGTCCTGAATTTGTTAGACTGAATTTGATAGAAATCTGAACATCTATCAGATTTCCTATACTACCACTAACGTCTAGAGTAATATTAAATTGTGATTACCATTTTTTATTTCATCTCCGGCTTGTTATGATTGGATCGGAAAACAGAACGTGAGTAGTCAATTTTTAGCACGACAAATAATGAACAGAATGTCTTAATTCATTTGTTTCATTTCTACATTTTATATCTATTTCAGTAATAACACAATATTGGCTTGAATACGATATATCAGTTATTGATTCCGTATGACATATATACTTCTGAATATGGCGTTGAAACGTTCGTGTTTCCTTGTGAATTGTATTTCTTTTAATTGATTGTAAAAACATTGACATAGACTGTTATGAGTTTATTTGCTTTGCAATAGAACTTGATGATATATCAATTTTATTTCTCAAGTCACAATATGTATTTACCATTGTCTATTGAAAGTTGAAGATTTCAGAGTTTTGTGTCCTGAATTTGTTAGACTGAATTTGATAGAAATCTGAACATCTATCAGATTTCCTATACTACCACTTACGTCTAGAGTGATATTAAATTGTGATTACCATTTCTTATTTCATCTCCGGCTTGTTATGATTGGATCGGAAAACAGCATGTGAGTAGTCAATTTTTAGCACGACAAATAATGAACAGAATGTCTTAATTCATTTGTTTCATTTCTACATTTTATATCTATTTCAGTAATAACACAATATTGGCTTGAATACGATATATCAGTTATTGATTCCGTATGACATATATACTTCTGAATATGGCGTTGAAACGTTCGTGTTTCCTTGTGAATTGTATTTCTTTTAATTGATTGTAAAAACATTGACATAGACTGTTATGAGTTTATTTGCTTTGCAATAGAACTTGATGATATATCAATTTTATTTCTCAAGTCACAATATGTATTTACCATTGTCTATTGAAAGCTGAAGATTTCAGAGTTTTGTGTCCTGAATTTGTTAGACTGAATTTGATAGAAATCTGAACATCTATCAGATTTCCTATACTACCACTAACGTCTAGAGTAATATTAAATTGTGATTACCATTTTTTATTTCATCTCCGGCTTGTTATGATTGGATCGGAAAACAGTTGGTAAGTAGTCAATTTCTTATCATGACAAATAATGAACAGAATGTCTTAATTCATTTGTTTCATTTCTACATTTTATATCTATTTCAGTAATAACACAATATTGGCTTGAATACGATATATCAGTTATTGATTCCGTATGACATATATACTTCTGAATATGGCGTTGAAACGTTCGTGTTTCCTTGTGAATTGTATTTCTTTTAATTGATTGTAAAAACATTGACATAGACTGTTATGAGTTTATTTGCTTTGCAATAGAACTTGATGATATATCAATTTTATTTCTCAAGTCACAATATGTATTTACAATTGTCTATTGAATGCTGAAGATTTCAGAGTTTTGTGTCCTGAATTTGTTAGACTGAATTTGATAGAAATCTGAACATCTATCAGATTTCCTATACTACCACTAACGTCTAGAGTAATATTAAATTGTGATTACCATTTTTTATTTCATCTCCGGCTTGTTATGATTGGATCGGAAAACAGAACGTGAGTAGTCAATTTTTAGCACGACAAATAATGAACAGAATGTCTTAATTCATTTGTTTCATTTCTACATTTTATATCTATTTCAGTAATAACACAATATTGGCTTGAATACGATATATCAGTTATTGATTCCGTATGACATATATAACTTCTGAATATGGCGTTGAAACGTTCGTGTTTCCTTGTGAATTGTATTTCTTTTAATTGATTGTAAAAACATTGACATAGACTGTTATGAGTTTATTTGCTTTGCAATAGAACTTGATGATATATCAATTTTATTTCTCAAGTCACAATATGTATTTACCATTGTCTATTGAAAGTTGAAGATTTCAGAGTTTTGTGTCCTGAATTTGTTAGACTGAATTTGATAGAAATCTGAACATCTATCAGATTTCCTATACTACCACTTACGTCTAGATTGATATTAAATTGTGATTACCATTTCTTATTTCATCTCCGGCTTGTTATGATTGGATCGGAAAACAGGAGGTGAGTAGTCAATTTTTAGCACGACAAATAATGAACAGAATGTCTTAATTCATTTGTTTCATTTCTACATTTTATATCTATTTCAGTAATAACACAATATTGGCTTGAATACGATATATCAGTTATTGATTCCGTATGACATATATACTTCTGAATATGGCGTTGAAACGTTCGTGTTTCCTTGTGAATTGTATTTCTTTTAATTGATTGTAAAAACATTGACATAGACTGTTATGAGTTTATTTGCTTTGCAATAGAACTTGATGATATATCAATTTTATTTCTCAAGTCACAATATGTATTTACCGTTGTCTATTGAAAGCTGAAGATTTCAGAGTTTTGTGTCCTGAATTTGTTAGACTGAATTTGATAGAAATCTGAACATCTATCAGATTTCCTATACTACCACTTACGTCTAGAGTGATATTAAATTGTGATTACCATTTTTTATTTCATCTCCGGCTTGTTATGATTGGATCGGAAAACAGAACGTGAGTAGTCAATTTTTAGCACGACAAATAATGAACAGAATGTCTTAATTCATTTGTTTCATTTCTACATTTTATATCTATTTCAGTAATAACACAATATTGGCTTGAATACGATATATCAGTTATTGATTCCGTATGACATATATACTTAACATCTATTACATAAGTAGTGTAAAATTCTCGTCTTAGTTTCGATTGCTGAAACGATTAATGCTGACAAATATGGAGGCGACTTCAAAACTTTGTTATGTTTTATGAAAGATAATATCTCTAAGAGTTACATTACCTTCACAGAGACCACTCTATCCATCAGTTAGGTTTCTTCGAAATATAGCGTTGAAACGATCATGTTTCCTTGTGATTTGCATCTCTTGTAATTTATTGTTTCAATTATCTGCCTTAGATAATGGAAGTTTATCAAAGTATCATTAAGATGAGTGATTTTTACTGCCAAAATCAGAATTAAATTTTCATTGGATGACAAAATAAAAAAATTCAGTTGAGTGCCGATGTTTTAATACAGATACCTTCAACAGTGGTCTATAATTAACTATAATACGCTTACCATTGATCTGAATTTAATAATTCGCAATTGCTAATCAGTGAAATGTCACTTCTTTATTTGAAATGATATGCATAATACATGAATACTGAAAAAAGTTAGAAATAATTCTTTAAATAACAATGCTGACGAGATGAAGATATTTGTAAACCAGTACCTAGATTTATACCATTACCGAGGGGCTAAAGTTAGCAGGTGATTTATTTGATATTCCATTAACGAATCGAGCGGATTGGATATCTGAATACCCGTTATCGAATCTCCAATCCCAAGGATTCCTTATTTGAATATCCAGTCTTCAATTCTAATTTCAGCCACCTACGTGTCTGGCATAAGCAAGACAATTTCAGATATATGGTACAAAGTTATATATTAATTAATGTTTACGGCAAAATTTAGGATTAAATTTTCATTGGCAGACAAAATATTTTAACTTAAATTTCAACGATTTATTTTCCTGTTTGGAATATATATATATTGCAACTATATTTCTAATCTAGCACCGTGTTTCAAAATAAATTAACTGATAAATTGATAGAATCATATTGCTTGTGTTAACGCTTTTACTTATGGAAGGTGTGGTACATTTTGTCCCTCTCAATTCAGGTCGCAGAGAATTTAATCAGTATCTAGAAATATACCATGGATTAAAAGAAAAATATCGACACATACGGGTGGTTTTAACCGGCAAAGAAGGTACCGGTAAAACTACCATATGTCGCCGTCTTAAGAATGAATCTGTCGTCCTCAACTCGAGAGAGCCAACTGTAGGAGCTGTGGTACGTCCACAATGTTTCTCAGTTGACTTGAATTCCAGAACATGGAAGTGTGAAAGTAACCGATTGCCTGATGATGTAGTGAAAGCTCGTTTGGGAGCTGTGAGGAGAAACCAAGACACAAGCGAAAAAAATGGTTCCAAAAAAGGTAATGTACAGTAGATTCAGAGTATTAAATGTAATAAGCTTCATCCTTAAAACATAACCTATTTTACACTCGTTTGGCGCTGACCAGAGATCAGTCTGCAAAACATTTAAGAATATCGTAGCTACCAACACTACCAACGATAAAGTTGTACTTATAGAATAGTCAAGCACATATTCCATATCATCAGTCCACAAGTATCCAAATATCATCAAAAGGCATTATATTGAAGAAACACATATTCCATATCATCAGTCCACAAGCATCCAAATATCATCAAAAGGCATTATATTGAAGAAACACATATTCCATATCATCAGTCCAAAAGCATCCAAATATCATCATAAGGCATTATAATGAAGAAACACATATTTCATATCATATTTTTCAATAATAATATTTCTCTTTATTTATTTCAAAATGTGTAAGAGCGTGTTGTTTCAGTTCTGGAACAGGACTAAATAACTGCTAGTATTGGTTACCGTTACTGCCTTTTGCAAATATTTTCTTTTTATCATGATATATACACAAATGAAGTCGAATAGTCGAGAAATTATAAAAGATATACACATGATCACCCACCAAAATATAAACTGACAAATAGTAATATCAGTAGTGTTGAATTCAAGTTTTCTTAACGTAGTAAATTCTCTTTGTATCACTTTATCAGCGCCTCTTTTGTAACCTGCATTTTCCCTACATGTTAGCATGGCAACAGAACTCCACCATGCTAATTATTGCTTGACGTCAAAAGTGTCGTGAAAATAAATTTTATTGTTGAAATAGGTAGCATATAAGTTTCGGCTAGAGCAAACATTTTTACACTGTCTGGTTCGATAGCAGACTCAAGATCAAAGATGCATTAAGAAAACTTAAACATCATTATCCTCCATCACATTTAACATTATAATATTCTACGATGAGACAGTTATATCAAATATTCGAGATACTTTGAAAGCTCTCTCTCTCTCTCTCTCTCTCTCTCTCTCTCTCTCTCTCTCGTAAATTTATAATCTATAATTGATTAAGCTATATGTAGTACTACAAATGATTATCTGATTTCTTCATATTTCATATTCTAATGTTTAATCACGTGACTGTTGTTATATAATTGTATATTTGTATGTAGGGAGAGGTTACAAGGTGTCTGTGTACATGTTTGACGGTAGACTATTGAACAACGGCATTGAGGGAAAAACACATCTAGATATATCACAGAATTACATTGAATCAATGTTTTCGCTAAATAATTCGTGGAATAATAAACAAAATTTAGTTGAGTGTCGATGTTTTAATACAGATACCTACAAAAGTGGTCTGTAATTAACTATAATACACTTACCATTTATCTTAATATATTTACATTTCCGGTGTGTATCCTCTATATAGACCTACCAACGAAATTGACGTTTACACTTCGGTATATTTGTAAAACAGTGCCTAGATTTATACCATTACCTAGGGGCTAAAGTTAGCAGGTGATTTATTTGATATTCCATAAAGGAATCGAGCGCATCGAATATTCGAATACCCGTTATGAAATCTCGAATCTCAAGGATTCGTTATTCGAATATCCAGTCTTCAATTCTAATTTCAGCAACCCACATTACTGCCACAAGCAAGACAATTTCAGATATATGGTACAAAGATATATATCAATTTTCCAATATCACAATAAGAAATGAGAGAGATATATTGTACTTTGCAATTATCAGTTATAATAAAAAGAATAATAAAAAACGATTGGCTTCTTACGTAAACACAATATAAAGAAAATCAAAGTTGAAAAAATTAAATCACGCCAGTTGCAGGACATGCCTAAATGGCTCTAGCACTGATGACGAATTTTCAACATCAAAACCACATGGCGCTAGATATATATCTTGAACGCTGAAATAAAGTAGTTAAGATAGGTATGTTTCACAAAAACAGTTCTGAGATATGAGCTGGAAGCTTGGCACACGTTTATCCAAATACCGTTACTATTAAACTAGCAATAAAAATTACAAATATGTTATTAGTGACCGAAGGCAGCACAAGAAAGCAAGTGTCTGTACGAGAAGTATCTTTTGAACAACATAAAGAGGCAAGAGCAGTCTTAACGGCTTCACGTCATGCTGACTCTGAGTTGGCATTCCTGTCCCTGTGGGATATGGGTGGACAAACGCCTTTCCAGGCTTCACACAACGTTTTTATTTCATCACACGGCGTGTATCTACTAGTCTTTAGACTGACAGACTTTCTCAAAGATAAGCTGGAAACAGGTAAGCAACTGAACAGTGATTTTACACTTGGGGAATTGGTACAGACGTTCACTGCTTAACAAAATACTTGATTTATATTCAATCGTCGAAACCGGCTAGTGCCCGGCTAGTGCAAAATAAAACTCTGCATTGTCAGAGTGAAAAGATCGTTTAATTAATCACGGTTGCATAAATTGATCATCTACAGACTAATTACCCCAAAGATGACCCTCATATAAAGGGTCTTATGTACAAATCGGCAATGTATTATACAATTTATTTTCTCTGCTCTCGTGCAGTTCACTTGGTTTCCTAGTTATTCTAAATGTTCACGAAATGATACAAGTGGGACAATTCTGTAGTAAACATATACATTAAAGATACAAGGCACGGACTTGAAAAGTTATTACAACTAATGTGAACAATACATAGGATTTACAATACAGCATTTTATCTAAGGCATAATCACCATCTTTATTTTAACTCTATATATGTAAATGTGAAGGGTTAATGGTGGGGGTTGTGCTAATTGTATCATTTTTTCTATTCATTTATTATTTTTAATTTATTTATTTAAGGACACACACGTCGATAGAGATTTAAACTTCTTATGGTCTACCTAACATTCGGTTTTACTTGGCAAAGTCTTTCTCGTCATCTTATCCCCAATTAGTTATGTGTGTTTTCTTTGTGTTTTATATAACCACATATCCGTTTTCCACTTTGTTTGTCCTACGAAAATATTAAACTATAGTTTATATACAAAAAGTTTCCTTGTTTAACTATATAGTGCATATATGCAGTAATTGTGTAGTTTCAGACTATATATGTGTATGTAAGTATGTTAATGAAGTCTGAGGGATCCTGTTGATTGACCAATCAGCATTGTCCTGATAGAATGCCATGCTAGGGATTTTTGAGCCCCCACAACATAATATCAGTTATCGAGGGTGATTGAGCAATCCAACATTTATTACACATGCTATTCGTATTATCCCATGTACGCTAATCACGCATTGATTAACCTTATTTGATGATTTTTTATTATAGATGTAATATGGTAGGGGGACATCTCATTCTGATCGCTTTGTTGGATTTGTGCCTGGATATGTCATTTAATTATCGGGGATTTAGTTCTTCGAGAATTCTATTCATTTTATATTCTTAGGGAATTCTAACTCCAGTCTTATAGTAATAGAATATTCTTTTATAATATTATGTTTCAACATATCGTTGAGGGTCTACCTAGTCGTTGATTATTCTACCTCTCATGCAGCTTCTCTGAGGTCACTCACAGAGTCTTTTAGCTTCACTGCAACCGTCCAATGTCTGGTTGCTTTCCTGCGATTTTTTAGTTTTGCACTTGTAGCTACTCTGGGACACCTCAGAGCCTGATTCGTAATTGCAATGAGTCTACGAGTAAGTATTTGATTTGGCCTCTGGTCTCCGTCTCTTTGATTCATCACGTTTGTTCTCTCTATTTTCCACAATACCACCTTTGTCGTTACCTATGTTGTCTAGTTTTGTTTGTCATTATTATTTGTCCTTTTTGTTTTATTGTCAATCATGTATTCACTTTTTATACAGTCCGCCTGAAAAAATGGATCAGAATGATCGGCACGTTTTCCTCAGTTGAACTGAATGCACCTAAAACGAGAACATGTGCTCCTCCGATCATTTTCGTAGGCACGTTTCTTGATAAACTGAAGGAAAACAACGCGGTATGTAATAGCAATTACAAGCTTGTAATATTGAACATTTCAAGCCTAAAACTTAAACATTTTCTAATTATTCTATCGTTTTCCTTTCTTTTGAGGATGCTTTATTTACGGCGCAAGTCATTAATATAGCTATTTCAAAATTCCTTTGACAAAGTGACGGAGTGTCAACAAAAATGTACGATTAATATTGATTAAAATAACTTGTTTCGTAATGTTCAAAACAAACAAAGTTGATAATTTCATCTTTTTAGACATAGCACAAACATGAATATTTTGAAAGATGTGTCTCTAAATTTTCCCCAGGACTACGACAAACAGCAACAGAACATACGGTCAAGTATCTCCAAATTTCCCGAGCTCTCATCTCACCAATTTGTCAAGTTCTGTGCAGTCGACAACAGCCTCGGAAATGAAGCCACAGACCTAAAAATGTTAAGAGATTTAATCACAGAAGTCGCTGTTCATCAGGATCAGTGGGAAAGACAACTCCCTACCACGTGGTTAAAACTCGAGATGGATTTACTTCAAGCAAGAGAAAAAGGAACAAGGATACTCAAAATGGAAGAGATTATCAAGATGAACAAATCATCTACAGCGCCATTGTCTGATGTAAATGAAATCAAACATGCCCTGGAGTAAGTATGTGTGAACCAAAAATGAATAGATACATAAAGCTGTTTCCAATAATAGATGCTGATATCAACATTCTTTATATCACACTTACGTAATCAAACGTTGTATACTGCATTATTCATTATACAGAATTCTATGAGACGCAATTTTAGGCCAAAGTTTCAAAAATTTTATAACAATATGAAGATATCATCATATAATTGTTAAATTTGAACGATATATAAACTTAAGACAAAGGTAAGTATTATGAATGCGTTAACTGTACTACAGTTACTTTGTGCCTTGGGGATATAATGTAAATAATTCCGTTTTAATGATCCTAGCAACAGAAAACTCGAGTTATACCACTACAACTTAACCTTAGTCTACTTCAGTAGGACATTGATATTTCTGAACCACAAAAACCACAAAGGGGTAGGATACTTTATGTAAAATAATCAAAGAGTCTTATTTAAAATTTGAAATGAAATGTTAATTGTTTCATTTTGAACCACACTCCTAAGGTAGGCTTGATATACATGATTCCGCGTTAGACCTTACCAATACGAACTGATAAAACATATATTTATTAAACAGAGGTCGTAGACGTTTATATCTAAGATTCGTTCTCATCCAATGAATTCAAATAGAACACACTATTTGATGGACATTAATCTATTTGAAACTAGAACCCCATCTTCGTCACATAAATCTCTCTTAAAATAAGATAACCAGGCACAGTTCAAACAGTATCCTCAACAGGCAAACACAATATCATCACCAGTCACATCTCACTAAGTATCATCACGAGACACATCTTACACACTATCATCACCAGGCTCATCTCACATAATATTATCACCAGGCACATCTCACACAGTATCATCACTAGTAACATTTCACACAGTATCATCACCCGGCACATCATATACATTATCATCACCAGGCACATCCCACACAGTATCATCACCAGGCACATCATACATAGTATTATCACCAGGCACATGTCACACAGTACCATCACCAGGCACATTTCACAAAATACCATCACCAGGCACATTTCACAGAGTATCACAACCAGGCACATCTCACACAGTATCATTACCAGGACATCATCTCACACATTATCATCACCAGGCCCATCCCACACAGTATCATCACCAGGCACATATCACACATTATCACCACACACAGTAACATAACACATATAGTATTATCACCAGGAACATCTCACACAGTATCATCACCATTCACATCTTATACAGTATCATAACCAGACACATTTCACAGAGTATCATCACCAGGCACATTTCATATTGTACCATCACCAGGTACATCTCAAACAGTACCATCACCAGGCACATTTCACAGAGTATCAATACCTGGCACATCTCACACAGAACCATTAATAGTAACATTTCACACATTATCATCACCAGGAACCTCTCACACAGTATCATCATCATGTACATCAAACATAGTATTATCACCAGGCACATTTCATATTGTGCCATCACCATTTACATCTCACACAGTGTCATCACCACTCACATCTCGCACAGTGTCATCACCAGTAGTATCATCACCAGGCACCTCTCACACAGTATCATCAACCGGCACATCCCACATAGTATTATCACCAGGCACATCTCACATAGTATCATCACCAGGTACAGGTCACACAGTATCATCACCAGGCACATGTCACACAGTATCATCAGCGGGCACCTCTCACACAGTATCATCACAATTCACATCTCACACAGTATCATCACCAGGCACATGTCACACAGTATCATCATCAGGCACATCTCACACAGTATCATCACCAGGCACATCTCACACAGTACCATCACCAGGCACATCTTATACAATATCATCACCAGGCTCTTCTTACACAGTATCATCACCAAACATCTCTCATACAATATCATCACCAGGCATCCCTCACACAGTATCATCACCAGACACATCTCACACAGTATCATCACCAGACACATCTTATACAGTATCATCACCAGACACACAAAGTATTATCACCAGGCACATCTCACACAGTATCATCACCATTCACATCTCATACAGTATTATCACCAGGCACATCTCACATATTATCATCACCAGGCACATCTCACACAGTACCATCACCAGGCACATGTCACACAGTACCATCACCAGGCAAATGTCACACAGTACCATCACCAGGCACCTCTCACATAGTATCATTAACCAGACACATCTCACACAGTATCATCACCAGACACATCTCATACAGTATCATCACCAGGAATCCCTCACACAGTATAATCACCAGGCTTCCCTTACACAGTATCATCACCAGGCACATGTCACACAGTATCATCACCAGGCACATCTCACACAGTATCATCACCAGGCATCCTTCACACAGTATCATCACCAGGCTTCTCTCATATAATATCATCACCAGGCATCCCTCACACAGTATCATCACCAGGCTGATCTCACACAGTATCATCACCAGACACATCTTATAAAATATCATCACCAGACACATCTTATACAGTATCATCACCAGGCATCCCTCACACAGTATCATCACCAGACACATCTCACACAGTATCATCACCAGACACATCTCATACAGTATCATCACCAGGCATCCCTCACACAGTATCATCACCAGGCATCCCTCACACAGTATCATCACCAGGCACATCACTAGACACATCTCACACAGTATCATCACCAGACACATCTCACATAGTATCATCACCAGGCACATGTCACACAGTATCATCAAATTACACATCTCACACAGTATCATCACCATTCACATCTGATACAGTATCATCATCAGGCTGATCTCACACAGTATCATCACCAGGCACATCTCACACAGTATCATCACCAGGCACATCTCACACAGTATCATCACCAGGCACATCTCACACAGTATCATCACCAGGCACATCTCACACAGTATCATCACCAGGTATATCTCACAAATTATTATCACCAGGCACATCTCACACAGTATCATCACCATTCACATCTCATACAGTATCATCACCAGGCATCCCTCACACAGTATCATCACCAGGCATCCCTCACACAGTATCATCACCAGGCAGATGTCACACAGTATCATCACCAGGCACATGTCACACAGTATCATCACCAGGCACATCTCACACAGTATCATCACCAGGCACATCTCACACAGTATCATCACCAGGCACATCTCACACAGTATCATCACCAGGCACATCTCACATAGTATCATCACCAGGCACATGTCACATAGTATCATCAAATTACACATCTCACTAAGTATCATCACCATTCACATCTCATAGAGTATCATCACCAGGCTCTTTTTACACAGTATCATCACCAGGCATCCCTTACACAGTATCATCACCAGGCATCCCTCACACAGTATCATCACCAGGCACCTTTCAAACAGTACCATCACCGGACAAATATCACACAGTGTCATCACCAGGCACATATCACACAGTATCAGCACCAGACACATGTCACACAGTATCAACACTAGGTACAACCCACACAGTATCATCACCAGGTATATATCACATATTATTATCACAAGGCACCTCTCACACAGTACCAACACCAGGCACATATCACACAGTATCATCACCAGGCACATGTCACACAGTATCATCATCAGGCACATCTCACACAGTATCATCACCAGGCACCTCTCACACAGTATCATCACCAGACACATCTCATACAGTATCATCACCAGGCATCCCTCACACAGTATCATCACCGGGCATCCCTCACACAGTATCATCACCAGGCACATTTCACACCGTGCCATCGCCATGCACATGTCACAAAGTATCATCAACAGGTACAACCCACACAGTATCATCACCAGGCATCCTTCACACAGTATCATAACCAGGCTTCTCTCATATAATATCATCACCAGGCATCCCTCACACAGTATCATCACCAGGCACATATCACACAGTATCATCACCAGGCATCCCTCACACAGTATCATCACCAGGCATCCCTCACACAGTATCATCACCAGGCCTCACTCACACATTATCATCATCAGGCACATCTCACATAGTATCATCACCAGGCACATGTCACACAGTATCATCACCAGGCACCTCTCACACAGTACCATCATCGGACCCATCTCACACAGTATCATCACCAGGCATCTTATACAGTATCATAACCAGACACATTTCACAGATTATCATCACCAGGTCACACTGTATCATCACCAGGCACATGTCACACAGTATCATCACCAGGACACATCTCACACATTATCATCACAGGCACATGTCACACAGTCATCATCATTCACATCTCACACAGTATCATCACCAGGCACATCTACACAGTATCATCACCAGGCACAGTACCATCACCAGGCACATATCACACAGTATCATCACCAGGCACATGTCACACAGTATCATCACCAGGCACCTCTCACACAGTACCATCACCGGACACATCTCACACAGTATCATCACCAGGCACATGTCACACAGTATCATCATCAGGCACATCTCAAATAGTATTATCACCAGGCATATCTCACATAGTATCATCACCAGGCACAGGTCACACAGTATCATCACCAGGCACATCTCACACAGTATCATCACCAGGCACATCTCACACAGTATCATCACCAGGCACATGTCACACTGTATCATCACCGGGCACCTTTCACACAGTACCATCACCGGACACATCTCACACAGTATCATCACCAGGCAAATGTCACACAGTATCATCATCAGGCACATCTCACACAGTATCATCACCAGGCATATCTCACATAGTACCATTACCGGACACATCTCACACATTATCATCACCAGGCACATGTCACACAGTACCATTACCGGACACATCTCACACATTATCATCACCAGGCACATGTCACACAGTATCATCATCATTCACATCTCACACAGTATCATCACCAGGCACATCTCACACATTATCATCACCAAGCTCTTCTGACACAGTG